TCACGTGTACGTCATACCTACATGTGCATACAAAAAGTTTTTAGAACTACATTGTACGTGACGCAACCAGTAACCTACAATATAGCAAAGTCACTCGACTACAAGGTTAGGACAAAAGAGTAGGGGGGTTGGGGTTGGGAGAAGGGGTTGGTGGGAGTTTATATGGGTGCATCGTCGTTCCTATTCTTGTTCAACTGAATGACTAATGGTAGGTGATGGCACCTAGGAATAATGGGGAAGGAGGTGCTCCTGGTCGCCCAGTCCGGTCTTTTTTTTATCCCCTACTCTGGTCCGAGAGACCTTGGATTGTGCGGCCGGACTTCTTTTTAGTCATCCAGGGACGCTGAGGGGTTCTGAATTGAGAAGAAGCACAAAAAAAGAAGGAGTCCGAAGACGAGATTGAAAGTTGAATGGCCAGAGGGGGTCGTGGCTGGTCAGTTGGTTGACGCAAGTCTGTGCTGGTCATTTCAAGGTGTTTGCTGTTGTCAATTGTAAAGCTTGGGGACGTCTCTTCTTTTCTTTGGAGAACTTGTGTCATTTCTTTTTGGCCCTGCAAGTCCCAGAATGAAATTGAGAAAAAAGGTATTAGGAATCTTTGATGTACCTGGACAGAACGATTGTCATGACAATCATCCATGAAATGGGACATATATTGAAATCAAGGATTCCCTAGCAAAAGCACCTGATGCACTGTAGCTCAACAGCCTCATTTTGGCCCTGCAAGTCCCAGATTGAGAAAAAAAGGTTATATTATGAATCTTTAAAGTACCTGGATATAAAGATTGTCATAACAATCATCCATCAAATGGGACATATTGAAATCAAGGATTCCTTAAAAGTGCACGATGCACTGTTGCTCAAAAGCCTCAAGAAACCTGTAAAGATATTAGACAATAAAGAAATTACATTTTTAGACATGGGAGGAAAATCCCAGGAGAATATTCCGGGGACAAACCCACAGAATCAGGTAGGGACTGAAAACTCAATCCATGTATGTGGACCAGGGGAGGAATCGAACCTAGGCCATGGAGGTGAAAGGCGAGGAAAGAACCACTGTGCCAACCTGACTCCCAATTATTACTGTCATTTTTGATGAATTTCACTCAATCTTTGCCATTTCATGTTTTATCCCCCCCCCCCAAAAAAGCGCTAAACTAACATAAACTCTTCATTGTTGTGATGGAAGGTGGGAAAACATGTGGTTTATCTCATTTTTCTTATCAAAATGGATTCATGGTGATTTTTGTCTCTTTTGTAAGATTGTTGACAAAGACACCAAGAAAGTTAATTACTTTTATAATCACACATAGGGTATACATACATGTACATGTCATAAGTATTTATGCAAGATTGTATTCATTAACCTTGACTCCCTGCTAGGGTGTGTGGAAAATCACATTAAAATTGAAGGATTCAGGAGTGTTACTGTAGTGTTAGAGTTAAAGGAGCTACATGTAAATGATACTGAAGCCTCTTGATGAAATACATGTACCTGCAACCTAGCTTAAAGATTCTCAGTTCCCCTCTTAAGTCTCTCACCCATGGGAGCTAGAACTAACAAGCCAGTGTTACTCTAAGGAGACCCAGATACCGGTATAACTGTATACATGTACTCCCCAGCTCACCCAAGTTACTAAATCCTCATTGCCTTCTTTTCCTCCCATTGTTAAGCAGCTCAAATCACACAAGGGAGTCACGGCAGTGTTGTGTGTTGCTCATCTGTTGTCGGGCCGCTGTGCCCCTGTCCCATTTTTTTAAAATTGGGAGAGAGAGAAAAAAAAGACGTCAGCACCGAGCCCCTCAATGGGCCGTTTCCACTTGCGCTAATCCAGCTATTCATCCAGGAAAGGGGGATCTTGCCCTGAAAGGGCTGTCCGAGTCCTTGGGCTGACTTGAGGCGCTAGGTTCTTTGTCTCCTTTTGATTTTCAAGGCAAAACCCAGACCGGAGATAATAGTTTTGGAGGATTCGGTAGTGTGGTTTTGCAGCGGGGCGATGAGATGTTTCGGAAGAGGTGATTGTTGTGGCGGCTCAGATAGGTGCCAACCACAAGTGTGTTGTATTATCAGTGGGTTTGCCTATACCGGTAGCATCAGTTACATACATGTATAGTTAAGTTCACATTGCTGAGCTATGGTGCCATCCATGTTTTGTACCCCTGTAAAAAAGCTACTCAATGTAATGAATCTAAAAAAAAAAATGCATCATGGAATGTTTTTTGGGAACATGTACGGTACATTATACAGTACGCGTACCGGTGGACAGTATGTATGATATACAGTATGTACCGTTTAGTATAAACTCAGGTTTCCTACCAATCTTTCTCAGACCTGGTCCAGTCCCAGATCCTTCAAACTCCATCGAATGGTTTTGTAGGATATTGTATGAATTTAAAAGCTACATGTACATGTGGATCGTTCTATAAATTTGGGGTCCAAAGTGTTACCTTTTTCGTGTCCCCATATTAACTCTGAACTTTGTAATTTGCCATTCAAGTGTAATTAAAAATGACTTCAAACCAATTTGTATTTGTTGGATAGTTTGTGTGCTTCACATACAGTGTCATCACTCTTGGAGGAAGAATACATTGAGGAGTGCATCTAGAATAAACAAAATATAGACGGCAGATGTAACAGGGACAGAAAGTGGAAACTGCAGTAAATCCAGAGTGCCCCATGTACATTACATGTACAGCCAAATTCTTTACTTTATAGATTCCCTGTTGAAAGTTCAAGTACAAAACTATCAGGTTCCTGCAGAGTTAATGGATTGAGGAAGGTTTCTCTCAAAAATATCCCAGGATTTTTGTTATAACGCTCAGAGATTTCCACCAAGTCAAGACCTGTGTAGCTATGATAATCCGTGGAGAGACACACAGGTTCCCATGTCTGGAAACATATTAAATTAGTCTGGTGCCCTGAGGCCTCAGTTTGCATCAGGATGCAAGTTTTATCCTTGACCGGATGCAAACTCTGGGCCTTATCAGGTTCCCCTAGCTTCCTGAAGATCTAGTTATTCTCTCTTAAATCCAGGTCTCTCTTTTCCCCTGGCCCCCTTCCCAAGGTGTTGATGGAGACAGCCATAAATGCCAGTGTCATTGGTGTGCTGTAGGCAGGGAACAAGACAAGGATGTCATGTCATTAAAGTCATAGATAGGTGGACCCAGGCATGGTCACCTGTAGTTTGTCTCAGATGCATATTTTTGGAAAGTTAGTTTAAAGCACTTGGATCATAGTGTGTATTCAGTTAATTTAAGATTTTTTTTTAAAACTAATTTGCCGCGTATTTCACAAAGTAAAAATTTAGCAGGGCAGCATTACGGGACAAAATTTGTGCTTGCAAGTTACACAGGAGACAGAGGGCAGGGCACTCTTCCAAGAAAACTCTTCCTTTAAACATGACTATGATCAAGTCAGGAGGAACGCAAAAATTGGAAACAATTCCAGAAAATGACCCAAGGCCAAGGGGCAGGCTGTGTTTTTGGGTTATTCTAGTAGGGCTTTTGTTTGTTTATTTGTTGTTGTTTTTTTGTTTTTAAAAGACCTTCTTTCTACAGTATGAGGAAATGTTGTGGAGAATAATGCTTTGATTAGAACTTGTGCTGTCACAGCACACAGCACTGCTGTGTGTATGAAAAAAAAAGAAGTTCCATTCCGACACAATTTTTAAAGTGAATCATGTCTCTTTCCTCGTCCTAAATATTGGCCCCAGTCAAGGCCTTTCTCTGACTGCTAAATGTGTAATTCAGAAATTTCACCCAGACTCACTCACGGCATCCTAATAAAAAGTTCAGGGAGTTTGAAAGTTCAAGATTTTCCCTTCACAAAACCCAGTGTTGCAGAAATAAGCTTTTTAGCTATAAAATCCACAACCTTTGTACATAAGTATGCCAAGTTACCATATTTTTTTTTTGGGGGGGGGGGAATTTCATAACCCTAGGGCATTGTACAGAGTACTTTAACCCGATCAGTAAACTGGCTTTTGTTGTATTTCATTTTTTGAGAGCAGCAGATGGGAATTATGACGTGTCTTCATTATTTATGATGTGTATTATGTTACTGAGTGCAGTGCATTGAAAAACAGTTCAATACTGGATACAGTTATCACTGGATAGCAGTTGAGCTGTTGGACTGTAGGCAGTCTGACCCGATTAAATTTAGTGCACTGACTGGATGTGGCTTGTTCATTGCTAGTTTTTGAAAAAGAAAGAGTTTATTAACCCTAACTCCCTACTTTCTTTTACTAAGTACCGGACCAAGTCCAAATCCATCACTGACCCTGCTTCACATAATAATATATGACCAAATCCACTGAAATCCACCGAAATCCATAACAAGACCACCACTACTATCTGATTTTCATGGACTTGGTACAGATGGCTTGTCTGCCAAAATCCCCCCAAAGGGGGATGGCTTTTATGGAGTTGGAAAGGTTAGGGTTAGTACGGGTTTTTTGGGGGGAGGGAGGGAGGGTAAAGAACTTTGAATACATTAAAATTTGATTGCTCCAGACATGGAAAACAATGGAAGATAACCTAGAAAGAAGTTCTTTTGTATCCCACATCACTTTTTATTCCAGTATACTGCCCAAAACTGAAAAATATCTTACTAGATTCTAGAGTTATGTACATGTATTCACATGCACATTTAGTGGGCTGAACCGAAAGGTTAACTTGTTTAAATGGTACCTTTCGTAATTTGCACTTACGGAAAGAGGGTAATGCATGCATGAACATGCCTATATATATGATGAACAAAACTATAGTTTACGCACTTGTCTATTACCCCCCCCCTCCCTTGTCCTTGACGAATGTATTGTTCAATGAGAGAGACATTAGAGGAAAATTGCTTTGACCTTTTAAAAGTTCACAGGCTACATGTGATGATGTGAATTGATTAGTGTGTTTGCATTTGTCTTCATATACTCCAAAAAAATTAGCAGAATTTTTTATGTAGAGGCTTAATTGATTCTGATGTTTCCTTTTGATTTTGTTTTGCACAGAAATGGCAGCGTCGATGCTTCATCTTGTACGAGAATGGGGAACTTGCCTATGCCCTGGATGATAGCGTAAGTTGAAACTTAGAAAAGCAACAAACTGTACTAGTCTGACTTCAGGAAAAACACAGCCGGGTTTCGCATGATGTCTGCAAAAATTGGAGCAAGTTTAGTCGAGAACCATGAGTTGATCAGTGGTTGATTTATGATGTAACTTATGCCTGCGCACTAATTTCTTTCGTCTGAAGAAACAGACGTTTTCAAAATCTAAAGATGGGTGCTTAACAACTAAACTGATGAATTTGTGGCGCCTTGAATGCTGTACAATCCGAGCAAACAATATTCTAGTATCTCGGTTTTAATTCAAAAGTTGCCGAGTCATGTTTTGAATTGCTCTCAAAATCAGCTTCCGGGACATGTTCCCATTCAGTCAATTGGAGCTACATGATGTCATGCACTGAACCGACGAATTATAGCAACGGCACTCTTGTGCGCTCTGTCAACACTTGCGTAAACCCATTCACGGATTCACTGAATTACCAACCAACTACTAATAGAAATTTCCAAAAATGCATCACGTGACACATCTTTGGAAATGGCCTTCTTTTATTGTTTTCTTCAAATTGACAGCATGTGAAAAAGAATAATTTCACAGGGAGTTTAGTGTCATTACTATTTAAATCAAGTAAGCTTTTGAACAATAATTTTGACAGTTACTTTTTGGATAGCTGCAAATGATCTACTCTACCTTTAAGGGTGTGTGCAAACCCTCACCTTCAGTAATCATTGTCTTTAATGCCTACTTCCTCAAATTCTCCTGTAGTCACATTAATTGTTGGACAAATGCCAAATGATAATAATACAGGCTGAAGGGTGGTGATATTTTGAAATTCAAATATAATTTGCCACGGAGGGAAGTTACATAAATAGCGTTTCTAATTCATGACATCCTTCTGAATGTTATCTGTTTCACCTTTTGGGCTATTCCCCGGAATTATATACCTCAATGAAAAAAAAAATCTGTAAAAAATCCCAATGCCACAAATGACACTTGTGTATTATTTTGAAGCTGATTACATTTTTTTTTATTAAATTGAAATACAGTTTATTTCTAACAATGTTCAGCAGTTCAGCCATTACTTTTAACTGAAAACGTACATTAATTAACCCTAACCTTCCCAAACCCTCTAAAATCCTCTTTGCAAAATGGAGGATGTTGCAGGATTGAGGCTATATGGCAAACTGTGCTGCTGATTTCGGAGGATGCACTATGTCAAGGTCTTAGGCCTAACCTTGTGTTGTTTATTCTCAGCCTTGCATAAATTTAGGCCTACATGTAGATTATACTTGAAATCCTCCGCACTGCTCCAGGATGTCACTGGCTCTGTCTCAACATATTGACAGTGATTGCTGGAGGATTTTGCAGGATTGAGGCAGTGGTCACCCCTACAAGGACCATATTCAAGAAATAATGGAGGATTTTGGAAGATTCAGGCTGTATGCTTTTTTTACAAGGAGGCAGTCAGAGGATTTTGCAGGATTGAGGTTGCATCCTAGCAAAAATGCCTAGGGAGTTAGGGTTAACAGCAAAACAGTTGGATGAATAACTTCTTTTTAAACCATTGTAGTAACTGATTGATACATCTGAAATAGAATCCACTTTTTGATTACACTTCTTATTATGCACTGTTGAATTGTCCAAAATGTACGTCCGACACTGTGGAACAACCCTTTTACCCTATCTTTGGTTTTCTTTACATTTGGTTTTTCCTTTTACAAGTTCTCATAATGACTTGTATTGAGTCACCTGTCAGTAACAATATAATTCAGGTTTTGCTGGAGAGAGATGTTTTTTCCCGGGATTGCGTGTTGGAGGGTTAGCATCCTGGCATTTAGAAAAAATAATAATCTGCTTTCAACAAGTCGTAGGTCAAGGATTTTTAAAACCTTTAGCAGATTAGTTACACCTGTTACATTTGTCTTTACCAGTGAGACACCTTACACACACACCCCAATAGAAAAATGTATTGGAAGATTTTACCTAGAAATATATTCAGATAAAGGAAACAGGTTGTTTAAGTATCTCAATGTTGAGGGATAGATTAAATAAATTTATAAAAAATGCATACTCCTGCTAAGTCCGCCTACATCAGAGCCAATATTGTGCACACATTGTGTAAGTTTACCAGGCGCAGATTCAGAGGGGGTTTGGGGGGGTTGAAACCCCCCCCCCCCCCCTCTCTCTTTCTGACCCCCCCCCCCCCCAAAAAAAATTATAAAAAATTATAGTATTAACTAAATGTCCAGCTGTCCGCATCAATCAGACATACATGTACATGTACAAAAATCTGACGGACCTGGCACCCCCCCTGCAAAAATTTCTGGATCCACCCCTGTTTACTTTACTGATTTTCCACTTCATTCCTAGAAATAAATTTACAACATGGGATAATACACGTGTATAAAATACTAAACATGAAAGGACAACATGTGAAAGTAATAGGAAGTGGAGGGGACCCGTATGAAGCAGAGCTTGTCGAGTACTTGGCCCCTAAACTACAACATTTTGAAAAACCATGGGAACTTGCGAATCAAATTAAATTGGACGAGTTAGACAAAAGAAACAAACACGAAACAGATAACATTTTTAGAGGCAACAATTAAAATAAAAAAAGTTACATGTATGTCAACAAACAGATATTAACCCTAACCTTCTCAAGTCCTCCAGAATCCTCTTTGCAAAATGGAAGATTTTGCAGGATTGAGGCTACATATACACTATGTATGGCAAAAATGTGTGGCTGATTTTGGAGGATGGGCTGTGTCAAAGTCTTGGGCTGGACCTTGTGTTGTTTATTGCTCAGCCATGCATAAATCTAGGCCTAGATTATACCTGAAATCCTCCGCCCTGCTCCAAGATGTCACTGGCTCTGCCTCAACATATTGACAGTGATTGCTGGAGGATTTTGCAGGATTGAGGTAGTAGACACCCCTCCAGTGACCACATTCAAGAAAAAGCGGAGGATTTTTTGGATTGAGGCTGTATGCAATTTTTACATGGAGGCAGTTGGATGATTTTGCAGGATTGAGGTTGCATCCTAGCAAAAATGCCTGGGGAGTTAGGGTTAAATAAAATTATTAAAAACCCATATTTCTGCTGAGTGTCCCCACATCAGAGCCAGTAACGTGCCCACATCATCACGATCCATGTGAAAACACAAAAATTTAAAATGTATTAAAAAAACCAGTTGAGAGCTTGTGATATATTCACTTGCAGGACGCAAGTTTTTTAAGCGTACATTGAATTTTCACTGGCCAAGTTTCCCCATTTCTTGTGTTTTCCATTTTGCCATTGAAGCTTTTCAAATGCAACGTCACGCCCTGCAAGCCAATTTGTGTTGAAGTCATCTGCCCCACAAAATGTCCAGCAACCTTGACGTAACGCTCTCTGAACACCGAAACGTTGGCAGGAATTTGATTTGATGCAAGTGGGGTTTTCATCTGGAACCACATGTACATGCTAGAGTGTTTTGTTGTTATTTTGTTGTAGTACCGAAATTTTTGTCAAGTGATTCATTATTGAGGCTCTTGCTTTGTGAAAGTATTTTCTTGCCTGAATTTCAAAGGCTTGAATATAATATTTTTTATTAATAAAATAATTAGTGTACCGGTATATGCATTCCAGTTATTTGGCTAGATATTTGAAACCTCATAATAGAAAATTTAAAGATGCGCTTCACGTGAGTTTCACCTTGAAAAATACATTTTCTTTTTCAATTTACTATTTTTCTAGAAATAGGTATTTACTTTTGAATGAGACATCAAAACACAAAAAACACCCCCGTTTAGTATTTGAATGATTTCTTCACCAAATTCAAATTATTGGCTGCCAGGCAATAATTCGGCTCTCACAGGGCGAGTTCATTTGTGCGCCAAATGAAATTCCTTTTTCGGAGGGATGCCGATGTCCAAATTGGAACACAGTGGTTTTCAAAACAAACAAATTGAACATTGATTAGGAAAAACGGAATCTTTTTTTTTCGAAAAGGAATCCTTTTTTTTGAAAAGCATGAAATACACTCATTTTGACGTGTGCTTTTTTCAAACTTTAATCCATTTCTATTCAATTCTGAGTTTCTCCCAGAAAACTTTGCTCATGTACATGTACATGTACACTGTATTACCCCTCTGTACTTCTCAAATATAATTTTTGACCTTCGGCAGACTAGATTTGTGTTTAAATGCCAACAAGTTGGCATCTCTCATATTCCCAACAGGGAAAACTAGTCCTGCCCTCTGACACTTTCTCACTTCAAGCTGCCAACTTGGAGTCAACTTGGTTCATTGTTTGTAGAAAACTGATTTCACTGGCTTGGGGTACCGGGAGAAGTTGCTTACTGGGAGATTAAGCTCAAGGTTTTTTTCTTGAAAAGAAATTGACAACTTCCAGTTAACGCTTAAAGATGCTCAACATTTTAGGAAACTGCTATATTTTGTTAAAATGGTTTGAGAAATGTTTTGTCTATTTCAGATAAATGTTTTTTCCTCAATCGTGGCCTTACACGTACCGGTATGTACCGGTACTTGTAGTTGTAGCACCGAATGGCTGATTTGAAAACATGTGCATAACAACTCTCATCGTTGCAAGAATTTATTTGATTTAATAATGGGAACCAGGATAAACAGGTTTTTAAAGTTTCATGTATGTTTTAATTCCAACCAAAACCCCATTTTCCTTTTTTTGATGCTGCAAACTTCTTGAAAAAGGTTTTTGTTTTGGGCTCAAACAGATCCATTTTCCGAGCAGACTGGCTCCCTGCCCATACATTATCGATACCGATTGTGGGGCGGAACAGCGGCCTACATTTATAAGGAGAACGGAATTCTTGTCTGGCAGCCAATGATTCGAAATTGTAATGTAATAATTCAATAACTCAACATGAGCCAATTGTTTTTTTATTTCAGTCGATGTCTCATGCAAAAAAGAAAATAACTTTTTTATTGCTAGAAATATACATGTAGCAAGCAAAGGAATCTATTTTTTGTGATGAGACTTGAAAATAGCATGGGAAACACAACTTTAAATTGGCACAGGCTGGCTGGATAGTGGTCGTTTGCCGTTTTCAGGATTGAACGTGTCCGATGAGAACAGCTTTATGTTTGCCTGATATATCACTGTTAAACATCAGTCACTGAATGCATTTTTTTAAAATTCAGGTTGAAACCGACCCTTGTTCTCTAAGGTATGCCTGAAAATGTTTGGAAGATATCTTGACTGCAGATATTTTCTTTTAGGCCTTGGTGGAAATTGAAAACAACCCTTTTTTTCCTGGCCCCGTTTCTCCTCTGTACCTCATCTCACTCTTCTCATCACTGGAACTCCTGTCTCTCCTTCCCCAAACGCAGATCAACACCGTGCCCCAGGGTGTCATCAACATGTATCAATGCACTACGGTCTTCAACGCTGACACGCAGACCGGCCAGAAGTTCTCACTAGGCATACAGACGACCAAGGCGACGACGTTCATCCGCGCTGAGACGCGTGAAGAGAAAGACAGGTGGGCTTGCTTACGTCTTTTTTAAAAAAAACCACGTAATAGAAAAATAAATTATTTTAGAGGAACTAACTAGTCGGAACCAGCTAATTACCGGTATCTCTTATCAGGAACTATTTGCTGTTGTCGCAATTAAATTTCTGTATTTTGGTGACTTGCACGTTAAGTCATCCAATTACTAAAACATCACCGGTGTAGAAAGCTTTATATCCTGTTGGGCGTGTTTGGTCAAATCCTCCATAAAAACATTAGGACTCTATGAATGTTGTTCTTCAATCCTGGATCAAGCATGAGGAAATTTAATATTAATTGCAACAATAATGAAGACTCCAGCAGGAACCATCAGAGACTGATGTGATTTGTGTGTGTGTGTGTGTGTGGCAAAACACTCGAAAAGAGAATGCCAAAATGCAGCCATAATTTACGGCATTTTGAGAATGGCTATAAAAGCTAACTGCAAATGTACATAATGTATGAGGTCGTGCTTCCATTGGAAAACTTCTTTTCAAAGAACTGGTAGTCAAAACACCTTTTCTTTCATAAAACTCACACTACACACCGGCTCGCATTTTGCCTTTCAAACGTGCACGTGCATGTGCCAAAGTGTTATTTATTGTTGGCAAAGTGTAAATGAATACAGTTATATGCTGTGAGTGCCAATACGTTCCCCCCCCCCCCCCCCCCTCATTGAGAGCATGTCAATAAACAAATCCCACGTATTCATGATTGAAAATGAGGGTCAAAATTCCATGCCTTTTGAGAAAGAAGTATATGGCTTCCGTTCCGAAACCAGCCCTGTCATATGCGGCAATCATAAACAACATCAGTCCCCTGAAATCCAATATGAAAATTCCCGCTTTATTACACCGAAGCCCCTAGCCTGGGCAGGTCCACTTTGTCAATGATTCCTCTATGGGATGCATATGACAAGGCTAGGTGCAGTGAAGGGCTTGTCACACAAGCCATAAATCAGATGGGCTGTGTCTGTTGCTGTCCGCAAGGCAGAGCCTGTAGGTACGGAGCGTTTCCATCGTTTTTGATGTGTTGTTTGTGGAGGGAGTATGGTGATTAGGGTTGTACATGTACATGTATGTAGGTTGTGCTGGGGTCAGGTAGGGGTCAGTGCTAATGGCAAGGGATGGAAGGGTATGGTAGTGTTCAGCGTTTCAGTATATGACAAGATTATGTCATTCAGCATATATACATGTAAGTACAGTACACATACCTGTAGACAATTACATTTTACATAATGTACAACCCTCCTGCTATCTGAACAGTCACAGAAAGTCAAAATGTCAATCCTCTTCCCCTGCCGTGCCTTTTGCACAGGCTAGTCACCAACAGTCAGATCATATTTTAAGCAAGCACCGTGACTAGTCAAATTCTGTCAACAGACAAAAGTAGGAAAGTGGTAGGCACAGCTGGCTTATCAATCACCTACAGTCAAACATAGCTGTATACATAAACAGTCACAGCCAGTCAATCCTCCTTTATGCAGGCTGGGAGCTCTTAACTGGTGAAAACAGTCACTTGATTGATTTTGACTGAAAGGACAACTTGGCTCAGAATGTATGTTTGCATAGGAGGGTTAATGTGAAAATTCTTTCGTGAAATGATGGTCCAAAATATCATCTTGAAACTTTGTGGTCCTGTACATTGTACATTATGGTAAGAGTGGTGAGAGTGGTGAGAGTGGTTAAACCAGTGATTGGGACCAACCTCAGATGGCTCTTCCCAAATAGTCAACTAGAGACCAGTCCAATAGTCGACTAGCATAGGAACGGGCAAAGGTAGTCAAACTATGGTCAAGGATAGTTCTTGCTTGAACTTCCCCCTTGGCTATACATAATTGTTTTTAATATGAAGTCGCGTGATTAACAAGGCCAGAACGCAGATGCCGACATGCGAATCCTCCAGGAAATGAGAAAATGATGATGTAGCGTACATTTTTCCCAGGGATGCTCAATAAAGTTGAATAATTTCCTACTGCCATCGCGCAGCAATCACGTTTTGATGCTGTACGGAGTAGGGTGATTCATCAAATTGCTAACAGATGACACGCTACATTAAGACTTACATGTACCGGGACCCAACCCGGCCTATCACAAGATACTCTCATATCCAGTGGAGCCAACTTGTCTGCTAACATTTATCCCTGAAGACTACAAAATAAATTGTAAAACTCCCCAAAACAAAGCCATTAAAGAAATGACATCTCCCAAGCTGTATTCTGGATTCCGTGGGTCATGAATCACATGCTTTTTGCTATCTATTAGGGTAATATCCATGTGTTGACAGTCACAGGCTCCATTAGCGAGAAAGGATGCCCTAACTTACACTGTATCTCTTCTGGGTTTTTTTATAAGGCCAAGGCAAAAATACCTGCTTTCGATTAATGCTGTTTCAAAATAGAGAAGGAAATTTTTGTTTGCACATTTTTTTTTTAAGCTGATAAAATGTAGTCAAGGTCTAGGCCTACATGTATTTCGCACCAAAGGCGTATTTTCAGCCAAAAATGTTGTCATACAGCTCATCAGTGCTATCAAAACTGGGCCCTCTAAAGTAATGAAAAAGATTGCTTTAATTGAAGGGAAACAGAAACATTTATGCTGATGAAACTAAACAAAAATGGAGAATTTTAAGTTACGTGTACGCCACTAAATGCATAATGTATTAATTTGCTCAGTGCACAAGTACGCCTTCAACGGCCAGAAAATGAGAGCTGGGGGAGACCTTAGACTGGATTCCAGTTCATCAACTGCGTAATTCGAGTGATCCAAAGTTATTGGGGGTAGGGATAAGTCTAGGAGAACATTGCAAGTTTGATACGAATGTACTCGCGCGCAGACGATGCCTGACGCTCACAAGAAGACGCTGATAGCTTTGGCACATTCAGGAAGTCATGCATACATGTACTTTGTACAATCATCGTTCTTTAAAACATCAGGGAAAAAACAACAACAGAGGTTTCCTTTCGAAAAGATTAATTGTAAACAAGAGAATGACCAAACACGGACACCAGAAATTATAGGTACGACAAAATGGAAATTTATGCCTCGTTAATGTATTATTATCCTGTTACTTGCCACTAAAAAGTGTAGTATCAGGCCATAAATAGAGGCTCAGTTAGGAATCACATTTTTTGGGGGGGGGGGGGGCGAGGGAGAGGTGGCCAATGAAAACAAGCAGGGGTGCACAATAAGTTCTGGCCTGGTTCCAGAATGTCTCGCCTCGTATGCAAAATAGACGCGCATGCGCATCGATCGAGACAAACGGGTGTGTTCCGGAAACTTTCGCCAAGAGTGCATTTACTGATGACGACATTGCATTTGGTCAATTTTTTGGTCAGTTGGTAAACTTAGGGGGCCCATTTTTGGTCAATTTTCTGGGGACAGACGTACCTACCGACTGACCTGTTGACCGACCGACCAACTGACTGACTGACTGACCGACCGACCGACGGCGACCGACCTACCGTACCTTCCGTCCGACCAACCGATCGACCGACCACAAAGTGACACGTAGAAGCGCCTGCCCGAGCTCAAAAACCTCTTCACTTTCTTACCAAATCAATTTGAATGTCCAACTGCTTTACGCTTTGACAATACAAGTTTGCATATATGCTGAAGGACAGTGGATTTTGCAGTCAAACTGTTACAATGTACATGTGCATGTAGATTATGGGTGTACTTTGTGGGTGGGTTTTGTAGAAAAGACTTGTTTATAAAACAGTGCATTTGACCCTGTAATTGGCCACAAAGTTTGAGGTTGAAAATCAATGGCCTTTTCAAGGTGGCAAACCACAGAGTATTTGAATGGACTTACCCGAGCATGAAGCCCACACGAGGGCAGCATGGCCAGTATTACAATACTAGCGAGGAAATGAGCGGGCTTTGACGCATTAACGTCAGATCATGCCTTGGCACTGGACATTGAACGCTTCATCACAACACCTCAGATGGCTAACCAACCATTTACGAATCTGAATGGACTCAGTGGCTAAATATTAGGAATTGCTGTGCACGGTAAACAGAATGAAATACTTGGAACAATTTAGTCAAGTGTGGAGGAGACTCCTGTTATTGCAAACCACAGTTATTAAAATTCAAAAGATTAATTTGGTCCATTGATTTTGCAAAAATGTTCGGAATTCCATTTTTTTTCTTTTTGAAGAGCAAGATTTGAAGAACTTTTTATGTAATTCTTGTTTTTGGAAGAATCAGCATTAAATAATTTCTTTTTTGAAAAAAAAAGTTTGAAATGCTTAGTTTGAAGATTCGTATTTTCTGCACTGTTTTAGTATGCTGAATCATTATTGGACCAATGGGTACGAGTTTGAAAGAGTAGCAAACTCAAATGTGCTCCAATGTTTAAAGCCCAGTTTGCTCAAAACTTGGAAGAAAGTGGATTTTAGCCCCCCCCCCCTCCCAACTCCCACTTTCCAACTGTTTTTTAGAAGCACAATTGCTCTTCGTTCAATCAGGTATCAGTTGGAATTTACATACGTTTGTACATGTCTCTTATCTGTTATATATTTAATTTCTATAATCCACGGTTTTGCCAAAAGTGCGCATAACTTTGAAAATTAGAAAATTATATAAATGTCCACTCAGTTCAGTAAATTGTACTTTCAACATTTCATGCAAATTATGTAAAAAAAAAGTGTCTGAACGGCACCTACACATCAGTCTGGATAGAAGCAAATTACAAACACAAAGTCAAATCCATGAATTTGAATTGCAAAACTTGAACCCAAACACAGGACAGAACATGCACACTTCCTATTTTATTCATTTTTGTTGACAAAATTGATACCTGTCTGCTTCCTGTTTGACAGCGTGACCTCCAAACAGTCCACCGATTATGTACCCATACAAGGCTTCTGGTTAAGTTTTTATTAATAGTGCAGGTCTGACTGTGTATTTTTCAGTCAGCCACTCTGCATAGATAGTGTAAATATTGATAGCCTCACCTATAGTGTGCACTGGTAGCCGGTGTGTGGT